ATATATATAAATTTATATTAATAAAATCATTTTTTATTTTTTTTAGTTTTTTTTATTTTTTTTTATTTTTTTAACTCTTTAATATCTTATTAATTATCTAATTCTTTATTTTCTTAAACTTTTTTATGCTCATTCTAAAAAGAATATTCGATATATATATATAAAAAAATACTTTAAAATTCAATTTTTCAGCGCATTATGGACAAACTCTAACTTTGACTAAAGCATTTTTATTTTAATTATTTTCTTTATAAGAGAAATTAACTTCATAACTATCTAAATTTTAACAATTATTACATATTTTATTTCCACATTTTATTTATCCTTTTCCTATTTAAACTTCTTATTTTGTTCTCCATCTCATTCCAATTCTATTCTTAAAAAAAATAATAATAATTAATTAAAAAGATTTAAAAATTTACTATCCTGATGTATGTCTAGATAAATCAACAATAGCATATTCTTTAAATAATTTATCATAATATTTTTTAGCTAATATATCTCCATATTCTTCTTAACTTGGATTATTTTATTTTATTTTTAAATCTTACTCTTCATCACGTAAAAATCTTTTTATAAAAATAAAATATAATTATAAAAAATAATTTACTTATGATGATTGATTAAAATTTGTAAATCATTTACATTTTAATTTTACATTTATTTAAAAAAAAAAAAAATTATATATAAAAAATGAAAATAAAAATCTAAATATAAATTAAATAAAGCATTAATAAAATATATAATATAAAAAATATATTAATATTAAAATAAATATAATAATATTATATAATTATTATTTATATTTAGATATATAATTTTTTTAAATATATTTTATATTTATATATATATTTATTAATTAATTTTTTTTTTTGCCTTTATAAATATTTTTTATTTTATTATATATATAATATTAATAAATAATTTTCTCCATATGTAAACATAAAATTTTTATTTTTTGTCTAATTATTAAATTTAATTATTATTTAAATTTATATATATATTTTTTATTAATATATATGTTATTTTATATTTAAATAATTTTTTTTTATTATAAAATATATATTTTTAATGTCTATTTTATATAAAAAAAAAACATTACTTAAATTTTATTTAATTATAAATTATAAATAAAAAATAATTAAATAAATTTTTTATATATTAATTTCTAAAGAAAAAATATATTTTTTTTTTGATTTTTTCATTAATTATCATTATTATTTTATTAATGTCTATTTTCTTCAGTAAAAATTAATTATTTTTATTTTTTTTGATTATATTTTTCATTTTTTATAATATTTTCTTTCTTTTCATATTCTTCATATTCTTCATCTTCTTCATCTTCTTCATCTTCTTCATCCTCTTCTAATTATTCTTTATCTTGTTTTTCTTCTTCTTCATCTTCTTCTTCATATTATCTTTCTTTTTCTTCCTCTTACTTTTCCTAATCATCGTATTCTTATTCCATAGTTTTTTATTTTTTATTATAACAATCTTCTTTTTAATCATTTTATTCTAAAATTACTAACCCTCTATTATTTTTTTCTATATTTTTAATAACATTCCAAGCCTAATCTTCTTCAAGTACATCTCCCTCATTAAATAAAGGTAATTCAAATGGAGTAACTTAAGACAAGAACCATTTTTAATTCTAATTAACCATAGAATAATTAAAAATAACACTAAATTCAAATGAAATTTTATAAATACCCCATTCACTTCCTAAATCTAGTTTTTAGAAGGCATAAATAACCTCATTTTATTTAGGTTTTATTAAAAATTAAATAGACGTTTTTGGCAAAACTTACGTATTATTATTTTCCTTAAGCACTTCGAATTTCATAATTAATTAAATATAATTCATAGTTTCATTTATAACTAAAATTTCACGAACGCAATCTTTATTAAGAAAAGTATTTTCCATATTTTCAACTAAAAATATATAAATATAAAATATTTAATAATAAAATACTTAATTCTGGTGTTTCTTTAAAAGAATTATAATTAGAATATGAATTTTAATATTTTTATTTAAAAAAAGCATTCCAGGGTGATAAATTAGACATACAAGTAGTCATAATATAGCTATCTTTAACAATTTGACTATCATAAGCTTTGTTATGTGTACAAGCAGGATAATTATCACAAATATAAGTATTTACTTATCTTTCATAAATTCTAACTTTTTACCTGAATTATTTACTATATTATTTTTATTTTTGTTCATTTTTAAAATCTCTCCTATAGAAAATTCACATTCTTTAATTATTTTTAAATTTCTACTTTTTCCAATTGTATATAGAGAATAAAATCCACAAAAACTACAATTATTAATACCTTCGAAGTCTTAAATACCCTCAAAAACATCAGTCTAAATCCCCATATTATTATAAAATTATACCATTTTTTTCTAAAAACTCAAAACAGACTAAACTGAAATATCCGCATATGTTTTTTTTGGAAAATAACTATATTTTTATTTTACAGAATCATCCTAATACTCGAAAACGAAATAAAAAATCAAATCGACAAATTTTCCGAAAAAACAAGAAGGAGAAGGCATTAAACAAATATAAGAAAGAACCTAAAAATCACAATTTGCTGCATTTAAAATAGCCAAAACGAATTAAATACAAGTATTATCTTACATTTTTCTAGTATTATGTATTAATTCTAATACACTCTTTGTTTAATCGTGATTTAATGAACTCGTAAATACATAAAAAGAATCTAAAAGAGAATTCATTCCATAAGTTCCATAGAGATTAATAATTTATTTTCTATCATCTATATCATTATTCATAGTCTCTATTTTCGTGAAATTCTTGCATAAAATAGGCACTCCAAGTACCCATTCGAGTCTTTTTTGTTAATATTCATCTTTTATACACAAGAAATACTATATAGCATTCGCATAAGGCTTTGAATCATCATATGTGACCCTAAAAAGGCCTGAAGTAATTGCCAAGGAAATAACTTCAGAACAAAATTGGTTTTTAAAGGCGAATTTTTCTAGTAAATTACCTAATACATGCTATTCTATTTTCTCGCTAGTAAATACTCTTTCCCAAAAAGCATTGGAAAAAAAGGCAATTTTTAAATCATTACATAAGTCCATTTTTAGGGTGTTTTTTTCATGATTCGTGTTATATTTTTTGTCCAAAATAAATAAAATGAATTTTATTAAGGAATTATATGGTGGAGTCTCTAATCTCATATTTGAATTTACTATGTTTTTTTTCCTAATGTATTTTAAAGGAGAAGCTTCCATTAAGAAAAAATCAACAAAAAGATGAATAAATTTATTTTAAAAGGCAAATTCTAATTATTATTTTCCGCAAAGTACAAAATTTCCCCAAAACTAGAAAAATTCTTCGATTTTATTTAAATGTTTTTAAGCTAAATCATGTAAAAATTCAATATTTAAATTCAAGAAATTCACTAAATTATTCGCCATTATTTATTTTTACTAATCTTCTTCATGATTCAATATATTTAAGTCATTAAAATTTATAATAATCTAAATACATAGAGAGTATATTTCACTTAAAAACTCACGAGTTTATTATTCTTAACTTTTTATTATATCTCCTTATAAAGCTCTTGGTTATATATTTTTAATGAAAAATTCGTACACATATTCAGGTGTTAATTTTAATAAAATTTTTAATCTTTTTGTCATTTCTTACATAATCTATAAATATGTATATTTATATATATATATAAATATTTTTATTTTTTTAAACTTATTAATCTGACGATTTTTAAAATAAATCAAAAATAACTTTTGTATGAATATCAATTAAATTAATATTTTCTTATTTTTTTTCTTCTTAAATATCTTTATAATTAACATAATACCCATCTTTTTCACAATCCGAATTTAAAATTAAATCATCTGATAGTTATATTTAACTAAGTACATCTTTAACAAAATTATAAAAAATATCATTATATATATTTTTTTCTAGCATAAAAGTATTATTATCATTAATTACTTTCTAAAAAAGCCCACTATTATTATTATTATCATTATTTATCAATAATTTATCTTTAAATTCCTAAAATTCATAAAAATTCACAAAACTAGATATTTTGCCACCTTCTTGTTATTAAACTTTCCTTACAAAATTAAATCCTTTTAAATCTTCTTCTTTTTCAAAAATTAATTCTAATTCTTTTTTGATCTTCTTCTCATAAACCAATATATATGCACTTTTATAATTATCTTTACCCCTAAAAAGGTTAAAACTAACCCCTATATTTCCCCCAAAAGAATTTCCATCATCCTAGTCTCCACTTTATCCCCCAAAACACTCATTTTCGATATTTTTGGCCGAAAACTCCTTAATCCTACTATCATTAAACTCCACCCAAGCATCATTAGTCCTATCTCCATAAAATTCTCCCCTATTAGTATCTATATAGGAATAATAATGTCCAGAATCTGCCGTTCCAGTATGTACAACAACCCCTGCCAACTCATATTCGAAATCACTTTCTTCACTTAATAAATCATTCATCATATAAGGCTTAAGATTTAACAAATGAGGAAATTCAAGTTTTGAATTAAGCTTAATATTTTACATGGAATCCAAATCAAAGATGATTCTCTACAAATGCAAAATAAGTACGTTAGGCAATTTCGATAAATGTATATTCTTGATTACATCTACTTTTTTTTAGCAATTTTCACACTAAAAATCGGATATAGTTTCTCCCAAAATAAACTTATCTAAGCTTTCATTTAGATTCTTCATATTTTTCACTTCTAAACTCAAATTAAAAAATTTTTCAAAATTCCTCTTTTTATGTCCACAATTTAGACACTATAATTAAGAGCAAGTCTTCCCGCCAAAAACACCTTCTAAAATCTTCTCAAAAGGCCCTCCTTTTAATGCATTCTCGACTTTGTCAAATATCATATTTAAAAATTCCTGTGCATCTTATTGAATTATAGTATTTACAGGCTCCCCGCTATAATCTTTAAACGAAAAGCAAAATTCTAAAGGATTATAATCTATTCTATCACTTAATTCTAAAAAAGCGAACATTTACTATAATTAATGGAAAACATTGTCATCGCATTAAATTTATTTCTTATTATATTCTGTTTGTACTATATTTTATTCCTTGCCGTCATTAGCCATTAAAATACCATATCTGAAAGTCGGAACCATATAGAATTACTACAACATAGCATTCATATAACATATACAACCTAAATTATAAATACCTACATATCCACATTCACTTCTGATTTCTCTTGCCCTTATATTTAGGTTATAATTGGGAAGTTTTTATAGTATGTTTGCTAAACCATCTTATATTAGTATATTTAAATTGGAAGGACAATCTTTACATAGAGATTTTAATAATTAATAGGAAGAAATACGGCTTTATTCGCCTTTACATTTCAAATTTTTGTCGAAAAGACACTTATTAAAGATTTCATTTATGAGTACTTTTCCATGAATTTCTTTCTCTTTTACGTCTAAAATATTTACTATTCTATCTGAAAGGTTAATAAGTCCGATTAATACTTTTTCGTTTTTATTCTTTAAACGGGAGTTTTCGGTAGTTTTATGGGAAATTAAAATCTGAGTAACTTCTTTTAATAACAAAGGGAAGTCAAAATCACCTCTTTTTTCTTATTTTTCATGCAAAGAGTCCAACAAAGAACAAAAAAGTTCGAAATATTAAGTTGAAGTTTAAGCATTTTCTTCCTAGGTAACATTTTGCAGTTATTTTTTTAGAATTTTTAGTATTAATTTTATCAAAAAATGATGTTTTTAAGCCGCCAATACATATATGAAATTATTAAAATTTTTCCTAATATTTTAATTGTATCTATAAAAAAGACAAGAAATCAATAATTTTTAAAATTTCTCTTCTTTTTTTACAAAAAAGTTCTCACAAACATCTTTATTATTTAAAAAAATAGCTCCTAATAATAAAAAAGAATACTCAATGATAGTTCTATCTTCAATCTCTAATTTATCAGCATTTACCTGAGTAGTAAAATAAATACAAAGTTAACATAATTAGTCCACCAGTTCGTCAAAATCGAATTTTTGTAAAATGATTTCATTTAATTTCTACTCTTTTATATTCTTTACTAATTCTATGAAATCATCTCCTTATTCAAGCTAAGGTTTCACTTCATTATATATTTTTTCGTGAGAATTTCCCTTATCTTATTAATCTTCTTCTAAAGCCTCGAATTTCCTGGCTTCATTTTCTAATAATTAATCTTTAATTTCGCTCTCTTTTCTTAAAAGTTAAGATTTCTCTTCTCTCTTATTTTTCCTAATTAAAAGTATTAAAGAAGGTAAAGATAAATGCCCTAAAGACATAATCCCAACCATTTTATATATATTAATTTCATTATTTACGCTCTGAAAAGCCGCCACTAAATATTTTTAAAACATCTTAAGTATAAACGAGAACATATATTTTTCAAAAGAATTACTCTAAATAATATTTAATTAAAGCTTTTAAAATTTCATAAACAAATTATTAAAACCCCCGCTTTTAATAAACCCGAAAGCCCAATTATTATTATTGCTATCCTTCCCCTAATAATCCATCAAATACTCCATTAAATGTAAATTATACATCAATTTATATACCGAACTACTATCTAAAAAGCTTTCCCAATTTTCACACTACCTCAATTTCTAAAAAAGGCTCGGATTAATAGGCAATCTACTTAAAAGTTTCCATACATTCGACGAAATCTCTTATTTATCCAAAAGTTAAAAAAGCAATTAGAAAAACTCCTCATTTTAACTTAAAATATACCTCGGTAATTTTTCAACACTAATCTATTCAATTCCTATTTCATCATATCTTTTTAAATCTCTCCTATAATGATATGACTCTAGATTTTTCCTCACGATATCCGGCTTAGTCCTGCAAGCTTATGAATAGAATTCCACGAAATTATCCTCTAATAAATATCCTTTACTATCTTTATCATATTATTATAAGCAAGCTACTATTCTCCTATCTGTAGGCAGACAATTATCATTAGTACACGAATTTGTGAATTAGGCAATTTCCTCAGCCTTCATTTTACCGTCTTTGGCAAATTACTTGAACCATTCTCTGAATATTTGGATTGCCAGGGGATTAATTTCTTAGTTTTCCAATACTAAAGCTGCTTCTTTTACAGCCGGAGCTCTTTTTTTAGAAACCAAAATTTTCGATCCGTTTTTTATTTTCAATTCATTAATTGACCTCCCATTATCTTTGGCTAATAAATCCATCTTCTAATCAACTAGATATAATTAGACTTCCTCCCAACTACATTTTATCATTAAACCTATTTAATATAATAAGTCTGTCAAAGAATCATTAGAGTAAATCTTCACTGTAAATTAATTAGCTGCATCCTGTATATAGAATTAAGCCGTACAATGAAAAGTCAATAATTCACCTCTAGATAAACATAAAAGGGACTTTAAACCTCCATTTCCTTTCTTTTCACTTTCATCTAGGATACTTTCTAAAATCAGGAGACATTTTTCGATTTTTTTCTATTCTTCTTTATTTTCTTATAGGTATTTGTATACTTTTTCATAATACTGGCTTTTAATTAGTTCCTCTTCTTCCTAATTTATTTTATTAGAGTCGAAATTTGTATGCAAATTGTTCAAAAAATTCAAAGATTTTTTTACCAACTCTATATTCTCGTTCTCTAATATAATTTTCCATAATTCTTCGTTTCCGATTAGTTATTCGGGATTATCGCACATTATATAGTCAAATTCTAGATTATTTCTTTAATCTTCTTCATTATTATTACAATTATAATTCGAATATGAATATAAAATTGATTTACCATAATTATTATAACACACTGGAGAATTTTTATTTAAAAATTTTCTCATTTTACCTTCCGTTTCATTTATTATACAAAAAACGCTTTTAAAACAGTTAAAACCTTCAGGAGTAAGACTATCTAATCCTTCTTTAGAAGATAATTTTACATAAAAAAATTATTTTAAATCTTCATGTTTAATTGATAATCCTGAATTATTATTATTATTATTAATTCCAATATTATTCACAGTATTAATTTCTGAAAACCAAGTATAGATTAATTCTTTTTCTTTCTGCATTAAACCTTCTATAACAACAGCATCCCAAACAGAGCAAATAATTTCAAAGGTAAGCATTATATCATTAGGTAATATATTGTATACTTTTATTTATTTAAATGAAATAAAATTTAAAATTATATATATAAATAATATTTCTTTTAATAAATACCAAAATTTAAAAATTCAATTCTAGATTTAATTTAATCAATATAAGATGGTTTAATTGAATTAGTTTATTCTAACATTTATTCAGTAATATTTACATTTCCAAATTTTTATTTTAGTTCATTTTTAAAAATTCTAATGTTTTCAACAATAACTTTAACTATTTATTTTTCTTAATATAAAAATAAATAGCATCTTTTTTCGAATAAACATTATATTAAGAATAATATATACTATCAATAATTTTAGTCATTATTTTTATTAAATTTAGTGTACTTTTAGAAGTCTTAAAAAAATAAAAATATATAGTAATAAAAAAATAATAAAAATACTCTTTATATTTCCTAAACACAACTTTCAAGTACTTATTATTTTGATTCTTTTTATTAATCATTACTAAAAGTATCAGAATAAGCCTTAATAACAATTTCGACTATATTTGGTTAAATTTCATCACTTCTTTCAATAATTTTCCAATAAAAACTTCTCACATCGTCTTACATATCGACTCCTTTATAAGTACTTTTTCCAATTTCTTATAACAATTCAATATCTTCAGTACAAATACTAGCTGGTTCAATGTCAATAATTTTTCTAATAAAGAATTAAATAATATCCTTAGTAAAGTTCTATACATAAAATGAATCCGACAATAATTTATAAACTGCCAATTTAAGTTCTGTGTCTTTTTTTTAGTCAAATTCCATAAAATATCTAAATGTTCATCCTTAACCATCTATTCATTTAACATAAATTTAAAAAAATCATAAGATTTCTAAATAAGTTAACATTTCTACGGATTAAAAAGCCTTTAAAAAATTTTATTTTCCTCTACCCACCCTTTTAATTCTTCCGGTTACATAGTATCCACATTTTTATCATTTCGAATACAAGTTAAAACTTCCATTATAGTTTTCAAACCTTAAAGTTATGTTTTTATGAACTCAGAATTGAAAGACTATAACGCCATTTATAAATTAAACTTTTCTAAAATTTCTATTTTTTATCCTATAGAGAAAACCCTTTTAATTAAACTACCTAAACCTCTATTAACCAAATCGATTTTTTCCTTTGTGAAATTTCTTAAATTACTTGCAGGACTTTCCAGGACATTTTTTTAGACTGCATAAATTAATTCATTAGAGTATTTCTTTGCAAAATTACAATGAAAAATACCCTAAATTTAATCAAACATATTCATATAGGAAGCTAAAAAATCAATTTAACACCATTCATTTTCATTGAAATTTGCAATTTTTTCTTTTATTAATTTAAATCCGCCTTTTTTCCCGAACTTATTTACAGCACTTATTAAAAAAAATGACGTGCAATAATTTCTCCGAGGAACAGCAAATATTTCCTCTTCTAAATTTTCACAAATCTATACCCGATCTGAAAAATCGTCAATCATTTCTTCTTAATTATTATTTGTGGAAGCTTTCGTGTATACTTTTTTAGCTTGAGTGCCTAATTTTTACAAACGAGGATTAGTTACATCCATCCATTCATCATATTAAGCCTACCAACCGAAAAATCTTCCTTTCTAATCTGTTTTAACTCCATTCTCATCATAATATCTATACCCTTTATAATAAAAAATAATTTCCATATTTAAAAAAACAAAAAAACATAAAAACAAATAAACCTATAAAAATAAATAATTCATCTCCATCATTTTTCAAATCAAAAACAGTACATTTATACCAAACATGAGAATTATCACAACAATCAACTAAATCTCCTTTATTAATTTAAAATCTCCAATCCCAATCATCATCTGGGCACATAGATTTAAACGGCCTAATTTCAAATCCATATCTCCAAACTTATTTATTATAATCAATCGAAGTATTTAAGAATTAAAGTTATATATATTCTTCATTACATTTAATTATTTTTGCCCTACTCCAGCTATTTTTATAATAAATATTTTCCGTTTTAATTGCATCTACGAAATCTCCGATTTTCAAAGAAGCTTAAAATTAATGAAACGAATTAGAAACTGGAAATAGCTATTGAATATAAAATATTTATGGATTAAGTTAATTTGTCTTAAAATAAAATTAATTTTTGTTGAATATATATGAAAGCATTTCTGATATGGCTAATGTTTATTTCTAGAATGTCGTTATGAATATATACAATGATTAAACTAATATTTAATTAGAAAGAATTAAAGTCGATTCATTCTCGAATGTCTTCTCGTCTATTAAATATTTCGCTATATAAAAAAAAAATTCGTTCATAAAATAATCATATACTTTGTCGTCTTATAAATATACTTCTCGCCATCTATTCTTATTGTCATCATATAATATATTATTAAAATTCAATAGAGTATAGAATTCTAATACTTTCTTCATATCGTTTTGGGTTTGAAGCTCATTATGACTATTTATTTAATATATATTTTTCTGTATTTATTTCCATTTTTATATTTATATTTCGTTGTATTTGTCATGTAAACACTATATTTTTTCCTTTTTAATTGGATATATATGCTCTTCCCATAGTTCGTCTAAGTTATATGTTTTTATTTAATTTTAATAATCTGTATTATTATACATTTTTAGTATGTATGTTTATTTTTTATTATTTTTTTGTTATCTTTTTAATATTTAATTTTTTTTTTATTTTATTTTATTTTTTTTCCTTATTTTATTATATTTATATATATAATTTTTTCAGAAATTAATCATTTTCTTTAATTTATTTTTTTTATGAGGTTTTTTACTTTTATATAATATTTTATATAGTGTTTTCTAAAAAATTACTAATTAATAATATATATTTTAAATAAAAATTTACAAATAGATGATTTAGATTTTCTTTTCTAAATTATTTTCTATTTTTTATATATTAAAAATTTATAAGAATCACAAGTATTAAAGTTATTAAAAAATATATTTATATATAAAATAAATATAGTAATTATTTTTATTCAATCATTAATATTAATTTATATATATTGAAAAAATAAAAACTTAGTTTAACTTTTTATATATTAAAAATATATATGTATATTTTTTTTCATTTTTCTATTAATTTTTTTATTTTCTAGCAAAAAACTAACTAGTATTAAAAATTATTTTTATATCTTTTTATAAAATATTTTAGAAATAAAAATAATTTTATAATATAAAAGCAAATATTAAATTTATTAAAATAAAAAAAAATATTAATAATTAAACTAATAATTTTTCACAACAAAAATTAAAAATAAAAATGATTAAAAATATATTTAAAAATTTAAACTAATCATTATATTTATATTAAAATAAGCCTTCATTTAATTTTAGCGAAACTTGGAATAGTGATTTTTTATTAAATAAAAATTCTTAATTTATTTATTTTTTAATAAAAAAGCAAAAAAAAAAAATGTCATAATAAAACCTTTTACAATAAATGTTGAAAATACAGTTTTTAGTGCAACTCCAATTAAAGTTGTTATATTAATATAATTTTTTAATAAATTAATATTATTTATTTAGGGAAAATATGGGCTTAATTCTGATTATATTACAGTTTTAAAAAACGGATGTATGTTAATTGAATTAATTCCCTCGTTAAAGGATGCGAACAATAAAGTTAATTAAAATAAAATATAAATTAAAAAAAAAAAAAATTAAAAAGATAGTTTTAGAATATCATAAAAGATTAAATTTTGCAATGAGCTTACATAATATTGGACAAGTTTTAGAAATTAATAAAGATTAAAATATAGACTTAAGTATTATACAAATATATATCCCAAAAATAAACTAATTTCATTATTAATTTTATATTGAATAGCAATAAAATACACTTTATCTACAAAATTAAAAAGTAAATAGATTCATTTTTCAAAAACATCCGAATAAAATTTTTTGAAACTCACATTTTTGTAAATAACTAAAGTAACATGTTAATATTTTTTTAAAAAAATCATTATTAATATATATATATATATATAATAACAAAATAATATTTTTAATATATAAGGAAAATCTATAAGATGAAATAAAAGAAAAATAACTAGCAATAAATTTAAAAATTTCAGATTTTATAATATTTTAAGAATTATGCAAAGTAATTATTATTTCTACATATTTTATAATTTATATTCAAGTACGTTGTTCCTTATATGATTGGATGGTAAGCATTAGCATCTTATGACTATGCGGAAAAAGACTCTATAGATGATAGAGTATGAAAATTTTGAATTTGTATGTATTAAAATAATTTATTACAATAATATTTTTATTAAAAGTAAAAATAAATATTTTTATTTTTTTAAAAAAAAATATATAAATAGATAAAACAAAAATTTTAATATTAATAATATAATTTATATATAAAATAAAATCATTAAAATATCGTCTAATTATTTGAAATATCACATGCATTAAAAGATATATTTGAACTTATATCATTTATTTAATTAACTATATAATTAAATTTTTGATTGTTTTATTTTTGTTTTAATTAATTACTAAAATATCCTTTTTATATTAAAAAATATTATATATATAAATATTTTATATTTTTTATAATTATATACCTTTTAAATCTTCGCTCATATTACTAGAAATAGATAAATCATGAATAATTTAATTTTTCAATAGGTTATTAAATTTATTAGTTTTGAAATAACTAATATTTAAATTAGTACTATTACTATTATTTAAAATTCTGGAAAGTTCTTTTTCTTTATAAGTTTATTCACAAAGAACTTTTTAAGGTGGACATAATTAAATCATAATAGGAGATTTTAATAGATTAGTAGCTAAATCAAGAAAATTAGTTTTTTGTTTTCTTATAAATTTAAATTGCTTATATTTTGGTTAGTTCTTTCAGTTTGTATTTATGTTTTTATATTATTATTATTATTTTAATAATCACCCTAAGAACATATAGGATATTATTTTTATATTTCTTTTTGTTTTTATGGCGAATTATTTGTAGATTATTTTTATTGTGAACATTTCGAATAACTTTTATCTTTCATTACTTAGTTTTTTATTTTAGAAGGTATATTTTATAAATACTTAGGAATTGGTGGAGATTTCGATTTATTTTTGATTGAGTTTTGTTTGTTTTAAATATTTTTTTAACAAGGTTATATTTATTAAAAATTACTACTTTAATAAGTAGATTGTGATTTGATTTTTAGCTTGTTTTGGTTTTGATTTAGTTTGATTTCAGATGCAGTTTTTTATAATTAATGTTATGTTATATTTAAATTGTTTTCAACATCATTAATTCTTGGTTTTTTATATTAAATTAATTATTTTTAAGATTTTTATATATTATTATTTTGATTGCTATTATTAATAATATTTTCTTTCTTTTTTTTAATATTTATTTAAATATAATTTTTTTTTTTATATATATAACAAAATATACGTTGCTTTCTTATTTCATATTATTTTTTGTTAATTATAATAATTGCATTTTTAATTATTCAAGTTCTTATTATAAATTTTATTGAGTATTTTTTTCAATATTTTCTTTTCATATTTTATTTATATATTTTTATTTTGTTGAATTGTTTTACTTGCTTATTTTTTTATATAATGAAATGATATTTAATTTTTATTTTGACTTTATATTTAATCTATTCCTATTATTACTAAATATTTCATCAACTTTTTTATATTATATCCTTAATATTATTCTAAAAATCGTTTTATAAATTAATTTCTATAACATTCCATTTTTATTTTTTTATTATTGTTATTTTTTTAATTTTAAAATTTTTATAATTTAAATTGTTTTGTAATATATAAAAAAATAATTTAAAAGCATATGATTTATTTAAATGAATCTAAATAAATTAATTTTCTATGATTTAAACAAATTATAATTAAAATGAAAATTGTTAATGAATTTTGAAATAATATAGATATTTTTTAAATATTTGATAGAAAATAAATTAATATTATATTGTTTATTATAACTTTTAAATAATGGAAATGCATTATTTTAAAGATTATTTTTTAAATATATTTTAAATATTTTAAAAATCAAAAAAAAAAAATTAAATTAGAATAAATACTTATATATATATATATATATATATATATATATATATATATATATATATATATATATATATATATTATTAAATATCAAATAATACTAAATTAACTATAATATAATTAAATTCAAAAAAAAAAAACATTTTTATTAGTCTAAATTTATTAAAAATAAAATTGTTTAAATATTAAAATTAATAATAATAAAAATGTACAATAAAATCATAAAAAGATTTTCAACTATATAAAGCAAGGCATAAATTAGAGTTAGATTTTCTGCTTAATCTACAGATAACTTTCTTTTAACTGATTATCGTACTGCTTTATATAATTATTTGTTTGCTAATAAAAACCAAGGTTAATTTATTCTTAGAATATAAGATATTGAAAGTGTAAAAAAATAAAAATCGCTTTAAAGTATATAAACTTAACAATATTTAAAATTAGAGTAAAAAAAATAGCTTAGAATAAATTAAATATATAATTGATAATTTAAATTTTTACGGTTTAAAATACAATGAAGGTATAATATATATAAATTTAGCAAAATAATTACAATTAATATAATTAAAAGGACCATAAATTGAAAATATAGATAAGTATTAAGAACATGGACCTTTAGGACCTTATTTATAAAGTCAAAGGACAAGTATATATTAAAAATATATAAAAGAAATGCTTTAAAATGGAGATTGCTATTGTTGTTTTTGTAGTTCAGAAAGACTATAAAAAATTGAAAATTAATAAGTATAAAATAAATAGGCAATAAAATATGATAAACATTGTAGAAATTTAACAGATTCATAAATATAGCAAAAAATATAAAATAAGGAAAAATTTTAAATAAGAATAAAAGTTCCATTAGGAGAAACAACTTTTACAGATTTAATTTAAGGAAAAATTTAAATAAATAACTAATAGTTAAATGATCAAATATTAATATATTCAAATGGATATCCAACAAGTGTTTTCACAAATATAATAGACGACTATACAATGAAAATATCACATGTAATTAGAGGAGATGAATTCATTAATTTTACTCCCCATTATTTTTTTATTTATGATTCTTTAAACTTTAAAGTTCCACAATTTGCCCATATTCCTTAAATATAAATAGTAAATAAAAAATAGAAATTCATATTTTGTTTAAATAAAAAAATTTCATATTTTTTTTTTTTTTAAATAAAATAAAAATCATATTTTTTTTTAAATAACAAAAATTTCATATTTTTTGTTAACTTTTTTTTAAAAAAAGAACGAGAATGAAAAATTATCTAATAACCAAAAATTTTATAGTCTTAATTATTTTAGAGAAAATGGTTATTTACCAGAAGCTGTGAATAACTTTGTAGCTTTTCTAGGTTGGCATCCTAAATATTTACTAGATGAATAAATGCTAAAAGATAAATTTAGTAAAAAAGAGGAAGTCTTATTTATGGATGAATTAATTTCTTTGGTAAATATTTATAATATATATTTTTTTACCTTTAAAAATTTATAGTTCAAATTAGATTAAATATAATAAAATTATACATAACTTTAATAAAAAAAATTATTGTATTTGAATAAATAACATATTAAAAGTAAATATGAAAATATTAGTACCGAAATAGAAGTTTTAGAAGAATTTAAAGAAAAACTTTGTTAATATATGGATATAGATAGGAACGAATTTAATAAGTTAAGTGAATAAAATCAGTTATAAATTTGTAATGTAATTAAAGATTTTTTATTTACTTACTAAGATTTTAAAAAATTCATTTATTTTTTTCAATAACCTACATAATTTTAAACAATTAACAAAACAGAATAAAAAAATTAAATAAAAATAATTAAAGACTTCATTTATATATTTAGTGCTTTAAAAAAATTTAACTAAAACTAAATAAATATATCAATTAGTAAATATATTTTTGAAAATTAACCGTTGAAAAATGATGTTGTTTTCGAATTATTAAGAACTGCTGTTTCGGGCTTTAAAAAAGGACCCCCAGTAGGTGATATATTTGAAATAATTGGACAATAAAAAACTATAGATAGACTATAATATTTTCTTGATAATGTATTAAATAAATGATTTTATAATAATAATTTAAACATTTTTTGATAATAATTTACTTATTAATAATTTTGTATTTCTATTATTTTCAATAATAAAAAAAAATATAAATAATTATGATTTTTTATAATATAAGGATAATTAATCATTATATATTTATTTTATAGAAAATTTTGTTATTATTATTTTTTAATTAAATATTGCTTTTTTATGTATTTTTTAAGAATCTCTTATTTAATGTTTTTTAAATTTTTTATTATTCGTAATTATTTATTATTACTAGTTTTCTATTTTAAAATTATATTTTTAAGTATTTTTTGTTAATATATATATATATATGATTTATTTTTTATTCGAATAAAAAGATAATTTAAATATGTTATTTTAATTATCAATTATTTGATTTTATTGATATTCTATTTGAAATATAATTTTTTGTTAAACTTTTCATAAAATTATTTATTTTATATAAAACAATAAATAAATAGTTAGATAATAATATATTCTTTAATTTTTAATAAAAACAAAAAAATATCAAACATCATTCAATAATCAAACTATAAACTTTTTGGATTTTATTTTTTATTTATTAAATATCATTTTGAAAATTCTAACATTAATCAGATAACTATTTTATTTTATAATCTTTTTAATTTAATAAAATAATCTTTTTTTATTAAAGTTTTTCACTCTGATTTTTTACCGGTTATTTTTTTTCTTTACATTATTAATTATGTTAAATAAAATATTTTTAATTAATTTTAAGAAAGCAAAAATAACATCTTTTTAGTATTTTTTCACACGCATTTTAATAATGATTACTTAAATGCTTTCTTTTTAATTATTTTTGACAAAATTTACTTACATTAATTAATTATTTCTTAACAAACTTTATAATGTTCTTTAATTTAGCTAGTTTGAATTTTAGACTAACATCCTATACAATTTTAGTAGTTATCATTACAATTTAACTAATTGTCATTTAATGAACTTTGAAAATTGTCAAAACTATTATTTGAGTATTTAATAAATTAGTATTCGCAATTTTAAATATGATTAATCGCATTTTCATAATTCATTTATATTTTATCACATTTTTAATGTTTAAATAGAGGATCTGAATAAGGACATTATATTTATATTTATTATATATATAAATGAAAAATTTAATGATCTTCATATATGTTTTATTAATTGCAAGTAGGACAATAAAGTATTTAATTTTAAGATGAATTTTATTACTTTAAGCAATTTAAGCAATATGATAAATTACATATTTTACAATATCTAATATTTTTAGTTAAGCATTTACATATTTAACATATAATTTTTTATAAAGTTTAATTATCATTTACTCTTATATATTTAGAATTTATTTTTATTTATGGACTATTTTTTCCTTATATTTACTAATTTAAATTGCTTTACATTTTTTGTTTTGTTTAATAAAAAAAATTTAAAATAAAGATTTTTTTTTTTTTATATATTTATTTTTATGAATATATTTAGATATAATAATATAAAATAAACTTTCCTCCCCCCAAAAAAAAAAAAAAGAATATAACTTTTTAAGTTAAAAATAAATAAAAATTTATCATTATTTTTAAAAAATTATATATATATTTTTTTATTTGGTAAAATTAAGAACAATTATATGAATATAATTAAGCTTTCAAGCTTTTATATTTTCATTGTAAAATAAATCCTAGTTTTTATTTTTTAAAACAAAACAAAAATATATTATTTATTTATTATATATTATTTAAAATATTAAATAAATATAACTATCAAAAAAAAAATACTCAAATGGACAATTAAGAAAAAGAAAAATTTAATAAAGTTATTTCAGAGGCTTATGAAGAATTGATAGTTACAAGACCTGAAAAACCACTTGAGCATTTTATTTATTATATACTTTAAACGCTTCCAGAAGATTAAAGAAATAAAGATTCAATAGTGCGTTAATTTTACAAAGAATATAAAGATAGTTACCTAAATAATGTTAAAAGAATTATTTGATATATTTTATAATAATATATATTAAAGTTAAATTTAGAAATTTAACAATAATTTTATAATGATTAATTTTTGTTGTTGAATATAATTATTAAAAATGTTACTTTAGAAAATTTAGAAAAATACATATTACATTATTTTTCATCAAAATTAAAATAATATACCATTCATTAATAAATTAAAAATATATTATTTAAGATATACAAATTGATTAAAAATAATAATAAATATAATAAAACTTTCATTAAAAAAAAATTAATAAATATTTTTTTATAACAAAATATAAAAAAAAAAAAAGTTTTTTTTTTTTTTTAATAATTAAAAAAATTCATCTTAAAATAAAATAATTATTTTTATAGAAAAAAATAAAAAAACAAAAACTGACTTTTTTTTTTAATATTTTATCTATAATTGTATATTAAATGATTTTAAATATATAATATAAATCATAAAAAATATAATTTATTTCTATTTAAAAAAACTATTTTTCACATTTTAATATCAAGCTTTCGCATAATTTACAGTCACTATATTATCTCCGATTTTGAAAGTGGATAAAGCTTTTAAAAATATATTAATAAAACATATATATTAAAAATAAAAGAAAATACATTATAAAGCAACTCCTGCTTTAAATTCATCTTCATATTCAACAAAAGCAACTTTCTTCTAAGGGACAAGACGAACTTCCCTATATTTATATAAAAAATAGAGACATATATATATATATATACGTAAATAAATAAATACTTAAATCCTGGGAAAGGCGCAAAATATGCTTTAATAATTTCTGTATTTATATTAATAGGTAAATTTTCTAAAAATAAAGTATGATGTGGTTAAATATAATTGTTTTGCTTTCATTATAAAATATAAAAAATTAAAGCGTATATAATCTAAATATATATATATATATATATATATATATACATTTTATTAACTAATTCCTTATTATTATTATTATTTATTAGTATTTGCTTCTTTTGTTTTTTAACTTTCTTTTAATTTCTTTTTTATTTATCTTTCTTCAATAAATTATTATGGATTAAACTATTTAGGAACTCTTGGTTATGTTCCATTTTATTATAATGTTAGTAAATCACTCGTTTATTTGGCAAAATTAATTTACTTATATTTTTATATATATTATTAAATTATTATAATTAATATATACCATTTGTTTTCCATATAGCTTTCTTCCTTAACAGTTTTCTAAGGCTTTTTCGGCTGTGGGTATATCTTAGAAAGTAATAAATGCTTAACCTCTCATTTTAATATTTCTTTTGGCTTTAATTTAAATAACATCTCCGAATTCTTCAAATATTCTTTTTAATTCGGGAATTAATTCATTTATTTTTACATTCTCATTTAAATTGTTTACATATAAAGTATTATTTGGTGGGATTAACTCTTTTTCGATTTCAATTATTTACTCTTCTTCACCCTCTTATTTTTATTCTTCGATCATTTCTTTTTTAAATTTATATATATCTTTTATTATATTTAGTTTTTTAAAAATATAATAATAAATTTATAAATATTTTTTTCTATTTAGGACTAAAATATAATAAAAATTATATAATTATTTTATATATAATTTTATTATATATAAAAAAACAAAAAATTAATATAATTATTATGTATATGTATATACATATTCATTATTTAATAAAAAAAACATTTTAAATTAATAATTAATACCACAAAATAAAAAAAAAAAACTAATAATAATCCTTGTTTTTTGTTTAACAAAAAAAAAAAATGAATAATAAAAGTAACTAATAATTAAAAGAATAAGAAAATGAATAAAAATAAGAATGTCAATAAGGTTAAGAATACCAATAAGTAGAAGAATATCAATAAGAATAATAATAAGAGAATATAAATGATACTTTTGAGGATTCACATCATTTAGTTTAAAAATAAAATGAAGTTTATTAAAATTAGTAAAATTAAAAAATTATTATAAGGTTTTACTTACTTTTAAAATAAAATAAAATAGATCAGAATAAATTAAAAAAATTTAATTCTAAAATGAAAAATTAAGAAATTAAATAAAGAACATAGGCTTATAAATAGAATAATAATATTATAAAACTTCAAATATACAGAAGCCTTAATAAAAATAAATAAATAATAATTAAAATTAATCTGAAAAAATTATAGAAATTTAATAGTTTATATTATAAAAAGACAAAAATTTGTAAAAAATAAAACATTAAATTTAAAAAATAACTAAGTCTTAAGAATATATAGATTACAAACAAAGGTACTATTTATAATATTTTTTATATTAATATAATTAATATAGAGTTTAATAAATAAATAACTAAATAAAAGAATAAAATATAAATCTAGAATAATAATAAAAAAAACTAACTTTATTTTAAAAACAATAATAATAATATTAAAAATAAATAGAAGTATTTGAAGATTATACATTGTAAGAAGAAAAAGTATTTTTTAGTATATATACTAGTATTTCATTAAATATATACATATATATTTCAAATAAATAGATATAATAATTAACTGAATAAGCAAAAGATTATAAAATAAAAATAAAAGAACTATAAAAGTATTTAAAAGAATAAGAAAAATTATGTATTGAAAAAAATGAAGAATATTTATTATTGAGTTAAGATTTTAGAGTAAAAGCAACCAAAATAGGTTATTATGGAAATCCTTTAGAAGAATAAAGTCAAGAATAATTATTAGATTTTTTAAAAAATCAAAAAACTAAAAAAAAAGAGAACAAAATTCAATTTACAAAATAATAATTTACATAATTATGTGAATAATATTTGAATTTAAGAAAAAAAAAGAAAAATAAGAATAATAATTAATAATAGATGAATAATAGCTATAAAGTATTTTAAAATAAGAAAATTTTGAAGCATAGGAATTATAATTTAAATTAAAAGAAAAAGAAAAGAAAAAATATAATATATCATTAATATAATGAAATGAAAAGATTAATAAATTATAAATCTGAATAAAATTTATTTTAATAAAATAAAATACTAAATGCAAATTTTAATGAATAAAATTAATCAAAAGTATAATTAAAAAAATTATAAGTAAATCATAGTATTTAAAAAAAAAGATATGATAGAACTTTAATAGGTTAAATTTATTAAAAAATTATTAAAAAAAATTAATAAAAATATATAATAAATAAAATTATAAGACTATATAAAATATATTATATATATATATATATATATATATATATATATATATATATATATATAAATTTTATATATTTTATTTATATTTTTCAATTTATTTATATATTAATAACATATTTATTTTATCTGTCTATAGAAATCAAATAAAATAATTCTTTTATTTATTTAGATGATTCTGATTTTATAAGTAATTTATAAGATTATAAAATTTAGAAGTTTTGTGTTTTTTTATAAAATAATAAAATTATTGGAATGCAAACATTTTATCAATTAAATAATGAAATAATTCCTGGTTTATAATGCTTGGGAATTTCTAAAATTTCAGATATTAAAAAATTATAAGTCGAAACTTTAGAAATATTAGATAATGATTATATAAAATACATAACAGGATTTTATACAGATGGTGTTGATTCTTTAAAAGTAGAAACTAATTTCGGATATTTTTTATCGGTTGGATAAAATGATAGCTAAAAAGCAAACTCTTTTAAATTAGAAATTAAGAAAAATAATAAACTTTTAAGTATTTTCGGAACTTTAGATTTTAGATAAAGTTATTATATATTTTATTTTTTTAATAATAGCTTTTTTTTTTTATAATAGTTTCTTAAAGTCAAGATGATTTATTTTTATATTCAATTGGAATTTAAGAAAAATAAATTTTTGACTAAATAAAAAATACTAATTTAATTAATTAAAGAAAAAATAAATTAAGCTTTGACTAATCTTAAAGATTATTAATGGAAGAAAAGAAAATTAGAGTAGAAAGAATTATTTCTTAAAGAAAAAATTAATACTAATATAAAAAAAATTAATATCTAAAATAAGAAAAAGAAAGTTATGAATATTTTGATACTATATAAGATAATATATAAATATAAAATGCAAAATGATAAAATAAAGTTAATGTAGTTAATTTATATTTTTAATTTTAAAAAAAATAATGAATCAATAAAATATTTTAAAATATTAACAATGATTATAAAACATCTATATATATACTATTAATATTTTATCTATATATATATATATATATATATATTTTTATGTATTTATATATAAATATATCATATTTAATATAATTATTTATATGTATCTCTCCAAGATTATACTTCTTTACATTTCTTATTAAATATTTTTTGTAATTATTCAATTTATTAAGAAATATTTTTGCTTGATCTTTACGTTAATTTTTATTCCGTTTCATATAATTACTAATCTCTTTTAACTTCTTGATAATACTAACATTTGGAACCTATTGCAAAATTATTACTTTATTTAAATACTCTACCACTAGTTTTTAATTCAATTAATTATTTTTCTTTTTCCAAAAGCAATAATTTTAATTAACTATTTTATTATTAAAGTGATTAAATTTCATTGAATAATTTTTCTTTACTTAAGCTTTTTTAAATAAATTCTTCCTATTATTAATTATTAAATGAACAACTATTCATATTCTAGTTATTTTATATTTAATTAATATCTTTTTATATTTTTAATTTTTTGTTGTATTTAAAAAAATAAAAAAAAAAAAAGCAAACTAAAAAATAAAAAAAAATATACCATTTTTATTATAATTAAAGGAAATACTATTATTATTAAAATTAAATTCTTCCGGAGATGAATATTGAATAGACTAGATAAGTGGATATTAATTCGAATTAAATTATATATCCATTTATTATTAGTCTAAGTTTTCTTTACTTCTACTTGCTTTTTTTAGTTTATCACAATCTCCATAATTCTAAATAATAATTTCACCTATTTATCTTTAGTCATTTTCATAAATACCTATTTATTTATTTAACTCTTCGACTTTTTATTTTTAAAAAAGGCTTTCTTATTTAAATTATTTAATTTAATTTTATAAATCTTCATTTAAATTTTACAATTATTAATTTTCTTCAAATAGATGTTTAAATTAAATTTCTTTCTAATCTATAATTTCCTCATTAGATTTTTAATAATAAGAAAAAGCCTATTATAGTTCTTCTTTTTCATTCAAAATTTATTAGTTTTCAGTAAAAAACCTTTAATTTTCATTAAAAAGAACTTCGTTTTCTTAACAAACTTTTATTTAAATTTACTATAATTCACCTATTTATTACTCAAATTATGTGCTTTATTCTTAAAATTTTTAATGCATTTATTATAACTCATTTTCATATTATTCTTGTATTTTTTAGATTGTTTCTTCCTTTTTATTTAACATTTATTTAGTTTTATTTAATTAGTCGGTAATAATATCAATATTATTTTGATTTTATTTAAATAAGACTTCATTTTTTTAAGAAGAATTAGAAAAATGTTTACTATTTTTAAGTACTTATTGCATTTATTGATCTTTTAAATCATTTTCATTCCTTAAATTTTCAATTTCTTTTTCCATTTCTTCCATTTTGTCAATTAAAACGACTTTATTATTATCACTTTCCTCTAGTTTTTATTTAAGGAAATTATTTTCGTTAATAATTTCTTCAATTTCGCAATTATTAGTCTAATTTTTTTTATTTGTTTCAAAAAAAATTTCATTCTCATTAAATTTAATCAAGTTATCCTCAAATTAATTTTTTTATTAAAATTATCCTTCTTCTATATTTAATTTATTAATGCTTTAATAATTTGATTTTAATTTTTCTATTTCCCAGATTTTTTATGAATCAATACTTATACTTCTATCCTAGTCTAAAGACTTTATTAAGTCTATTAAGTAGTCCATTTATGCCAAAAGTTTCAATTCATGTTCTCGAGCTTCAATTTCTTATTTTAATTTCATTTAATCAATGTCCGTGTGTATTATTTATTATTAAATATCATTCTTAATAGTCAAATTATTAGGAAATTTGTCTATAATTATTTATTTTTTTTAAGTTAATTTTTCAGAAATAATCTCACTTTAAGATTGTTTAGGAGTTTGAAATAATTTGCGTTTTTATACTTTTGAAGTTTTGGATTAAGAATTATTATTCATTTTTTTTTTTAACAACTAAATTTTATATTTAGAAATAATTTATTTTTTAATTTTTATTAAATATATAATATATTTATTTATATAATTATTTTATTTAAAATTTAATGGTAAATGAATTTGTAATTTACATAAGATATAAAAAGTACATAGAGTACATAGAAAAATGAAAACATAATATTAAAAATAATATATATTATAATAATAATAATAATAATAATAATAATAATAATAATAATAATAATAATTGGAATGATAATTATTGTAATCATAATAATTATACATTTACTTATCTTTTATATTTTCTATTTATGTTTCAAACATTTATTTATATATTTTAAATATCTTCTTTATTTTCATCTTTATCTTCATCTTCATCCTACCATTTAATTCTTTTTCCATTTTACCATATTCCATATTTTATAGTTCCGTCCTAGATAATATATTTTCCTTTTCCATTTTATTTTCCATTTTTCCATTCTCCATCATATATTCTTCCATCTGCCCAATAATATATACCGGTACCCTTTTAAATTACCAATTTCAAATATTAATAATATTTATTTTAGTTACATTTTTCTTATCGTTAAAATATTATCCTTCATATTTTCTTCCATCTTACCATGTATAAACACCTTTTCCATGCATATTATTATTAAGCCACTAACCTTAATATTATCTCCCATCAGCCCAAGTATATATACCCTTTTTTTTTTTATAAATATAAATATAAAATAATTAAAGTTACTTATCCATTGATTTTATTATCATACCATTCACCTTCATATTTTGATCTTTTTTTAATAATAAATATTATTATATTATTAATTTATTATATATATATACTTATCTGCCCACACATACACACCATATCCTTATTTTTTTCCATTTACATAATGACCTTCAAATTTCGAATTATCATTCCAATTTTCGATTCCAAATCCATGCTATACATTATCTTTCCAATTGCCTTCATATTTAGCTCCATTGATATGTATATAAATACCATATCCATTAGCCTTATCCATATACCATTATCCTTCAAAAATATCTCCGTCAACATGATAAAATTTTCCTTTACCATGGGCTTTATTATTTAACCATTCTCCCTCATATCTAGCTCCATCTGGCCATTCTTATTCTCCGTAACCATCTCTCATATTTCCTTTCCATTCTCCATCATAAACTGCTCCACTTTTAAAAGTATAAAGAGGCCTTCTTTCTTTTTATTAAGAATTACTATTAAGATAATCATTTTAATTGTCTTTTTATTATATTTTTTTTGTTTAAAGGTTAATTTTTTATTTTTTTAAAATATTAAATTAAAGATATATATAAATTAATAATTAATACTTTTTTACATTGTTAAACTATTACTTGTTCTTAATCAAAATATTTAGAGGCTTCTTTTTCTTATTATATTTTTTTAATTTCTAAATATTTTTTATCCTTTTTTTTATTTTATTGAGAAGAATCTATACTATTTTAATTTATTTCATTTTTTTTTTAGTTTTATTTATCATTTTTTTCATTTTAATCTATATTTTCGGTATTTTATTTATATGATTATTAATTTATTTGATTTATTATTAGTTTTTTTTAATTTTAGTTTTCTTTGATTACTACTTAGACTTCGTTATCATCATAATTTTCATATTTTTTAATATTATCTTAGTCTTTTAAAATATTTGAGATAAAATTATTTAGAAATTTATTTTATATTAAAAATAAGTTATAATTAAATATATAAAATATTATTAACATATTTTGCACTTTGTGTTTTGTTTTCTGCATAGGTTAATTTATTACTTACATTATTTTTTTATATTTTTTAAACTAATTAGTTATTGATTTCCTTATATTATTTTTATTTAAATAAAATAAATAAAAAATAATTAAAATAATTATAATATTAATTATTAAAATATAATACATTTTGAAACATATAATATTATTATAAAAATATATACTATTTGAGTTTTATTTTCAAATTCTTTATCTGATACACATCCACAATTATTTCCCATATTTAATTTTTAACTAAAAATAATTAAATTAAAAAAAAAAATACTTATTTTTTTAAAAAATATTTAAAAAAATATATAGGTGAAAAAATTATTATAAAAAATAATATATTAAATATAATAAAAACAATAATATTTCAACAAATAATATAAAAATATAAAAAACTATATATATATATATATATATATATATATATATATAAAAAAATATATTATTAATTATATATATTATATTATTTATATATTAATTAATAGATTATATAAAAAAAAAATATTAATAAATTATTAATAATAATTTAAAATTTTTAAGTTTTATTAAAAATGTTTTGACAAAAAATATAAATATATATAAATATGATAATATAAAATATAAAATTATAATAATTAAAAAATATACTAATAATAATTATAATAAAAACAATATTAATAATAATAAAATTAATAATATTAATATTAATTATAATAATAAATATTAATAATAATAAATCATAATAATAATAATAATAATAATAATTATTATTATATTAATAATATAATTATAATAAATAAATAAATAAATAAAAATATTTGTATTAATTTCATAAGTTTTTTAAAGCTTTATACAGTTGATTATGAATAATTAAATTTAGTTCCTTTCTTGTATAATTTTCATGTAACTTGAGTACATTCTAGATATTTATAATAGATTCTCTTCTATCGTCTTCTATAACTGACTTAAATGAAAAATTTTCTAAATATTCATAAACATAATCAGCATCTCTCATTTCTGGTATTCCTTCGAAAATAGTTTTAATTTTTATTTTATTTATAATTGAAGTAGGGATAGTAGAAGTAGCTCTTTATAGTAAAAGATCTTTTTTTTACTAAAACTATTTTTTATCTAAATTAAAAGAAGAAGCTTAATATTGATTACTTTTTCTTTTTAACAAATTAACACCTAAAATATGTTATTCAGGATCAATATCAATTTAATTTATTTAATTAAGTAAAATATTTTATTTTGTTTATTTAAAAATCTCTCCAATTGTAGTATAAATAGTATTTTATTAATACATTTTTGCTAAAGTTTAAAAAACATATATAAAACTTTCATTATTTTATTTTTATTATTTCGATTCTTTCATAGTAGGTTATTTACTGCTTTTTAAATACCAATAATAGACTTTTATTTCATCCCAAATAATCTTTTTACTAAGTATAAAAAGCCCTAAAAACAACCATTATAGTAATAATTTGGTATCTATTTAATCGTTTAGCCAAAATTTAAATAACTAAAAGCAATTTTTTATATATGCAAAAGGTAATAAACAGAAATTGAAAATAATAAAAAATAGTATACTGTTAAATAATATAGGAAAATATCCCAACCAATAATAAAACTAACAAACCTTACCTAATTATTTTTATTGTAAAAACATTTTTAATATTAAATAAGGAATTAATGTAAATTAAAGAAATACTGGCATTATTATCAAAAATCCGTACTTTCTTTAAAATTTGCCTTATCTTATATATTAAATAATATGTTTATAATGTAAATTTCTTCCCTATCTTTTCGCTTTTTCGAAAGTAAAAGCTAAAATAGAAGTTAATACATTAATAAATAAAATTGCCATCGCAAATAAGAAAATAAATATAAAAGTAGGACCCAATACTGGATAATTTTATTAATAACTTGAAAATGAGAATTATCCAAACATTGTTTCTATTAAATATAATAAACTTACTTCAAAACTTTTAAATAATTACTCTTCTTATTAATTGAATAAAACATGTCCTTTATTTTAAAATAAATGTTATTTTTATAAATAAAAAAATAAATTAAACCAACCTATAAATGTAAATAAAGCTAAAATAAGAGAAAATATAATTAAGAATTTAAAACATTCAATAAAAATAAAAATTAAGGCTTATAAAAGTGGACCAAAAAGTTTAGTAGCAGTAAAACAATTAATAGCTTTTAAAAAAATAAGATTAAGTAGAATATAATGTAATATTTTAAATTAAGATTAAATCTCATTAGTATTGTTTTCATCTAAATAAATAATAAAGAATATATAATATAAACTGAAAATAGAAATTATAATATCTAATATATGACCTGCATTTAATTTTACATTTTTTTCATATTCTTTTAAGTATATTATTTTTACTATTGAATGTAAAGGTAAATTTATTCCAAAAAATAAAGGAATAACTATCATAGATATAAGATTATGCTTTATTTTATCAATTATTTATTTCGAATTTACAACAAATATTTCGTCTTTTTCATCATATTCAAAAGCATCAAATATGTAATAGAAAAGAATAATATAAAAAATTATAAAAATTAGAATTGAAAATTAATCTAAATAATGTCTAAGTTTTATTTATTTTACCCAAACATCTTATTATAAAACAAAAGATTCGTCCCTATATTTCTAATTAAATGGATAAAAGTAATTCTATTTTTTTCTTAAAGATTTGTTAAATTAATCTTTAAACAAATTTTAACTAATAGAAGAAAAGCTAAGACTAAATTATTATAAAAAAATATATTAAATGAAAAAAATATAATATAAATAAAAATATATAAATATATATTTAATTTATATATTTATAATTATATATACATAATTTTATATATATATTTATATTTTTATTACATATTATTAGTTATTAAATTGTTTCCATTCCATAAAATATCAATTACATCCTATACTTTATTATCTGCAATAATGTCCATAAGTGAATTTTAATAAATTATATGTAAAAGTTTCCTACCTTAAAGATCCCAATCAATCAATAATTCATACATTTAATCTTCATCAATAGCAGTTTTGATGAGTTTTTAAGCAAAATTCATATATAATCTCTTTGCTTTAAAAAGCATATTCTTTTAATAATACACATTATTTATAGTAATATCTAATAATTCAATAATTAAAACAACAACCTTTAGTGGATTGTTAAATGAAAATAAAAAATTATTATCATTTATTTCAGAATCAAGCCTTTCGTACAAAGTCTCTGCCATTAATTAAATTAGATCTTTCGATGACCAAAGTTCAATTTTAGCCAAGAAAAAAATCAGGCTTTCGAAATTTCTTCCTTTAGATTTCCTCACAGATTTTACTAGTGCTTTTTAATACTAAGCTTCTTCTAGCCATCCCCAGACTTTATTTCTTGCCTTATTTTAATAAAAATACAGGAACTAGAAATTATAATTATTAATACATATTTAAACCATTTCTTTATCTAATTCTTATTTCTATATAAGCATTTTCATGAATAGTTTCATACACAAAGAATTTAATTAATATTAAATGAAATGTTATAAAATAAGTTTATTCTAAAATGCATCTTCAGTTTTAGAGATTACAAACTAAATCATTTTAGCTGAAAAACAATAAACAGTATAATAATAAGTTAGAAATAAAGAATTTATACAAATTTCATTTATATTTTCATTATTTATTGGAATTTATTTTTATTTTATAAAATCCTTTATTCCTTCTCCTTACGCAGCGTATATTCTAGTTTTATTTTTTAATAAAAAATTCACAATGGATTCATTTTCATAATTTAAAGCTAGTAATAATACATCTTATCGTACATTTAATTTCTTTTATTAGACATCATCCTCATAAAGCTTTAGTATTTCTTCAAATTCATCTATGCATTAGAAAAAAAGACTCGCATGGAAAATTCTTTGAAAATTTTTTTAAAAAACACTCCTCAATTCATATTCTTTTTGGAAATATTTTTCTCTTCCTTTCAAATTTTAAATAAAATCGATTTCATCGCCTTTATACTCTTCACAGGTTCCAAAAGGCTTAAATTGTTAGTAATTTTATATATTCTCGTCATTTAAAGATAATTTAAAATATTAAAATAATTCATCAACTTTTTCTGAAAATTTTAAAGTTAATAAATTTAAAAAAAAGACGGTTATTCCTAATTCAAAAACTTCGATTTAATTTAAATTATTTTTATCATTTCTAACATATTCTAGTATTTTAACAACTCCATTAAATATTTTTTATTAATATTTTTTTTTCTACAATACCAAAGACTCTTCCGAATCTTAGGAAATACTCTTTTAAAAGTCCAATTATAATTAATTTATTGAATCTTAACTTTATTTAATAGTACAATTATATAAAGAATCTTATTATTATGCAGTATTTTGTTCTTAATTTTAAAATTATTAAAATTTTGATTTCTATAATTTCGAATTAATTTTTAATGAAGGCCTTTTTGGAGGTAAATTTTTGAGATTAATTTATTATTAAACTAATTATTGCGGTATTATATTTACAATATTATTTTAATTTATTTGATTTTATATAGTGATCTCGTTTAATTAATTATTTTATTATTATTAATATGAATCAATAATAAAGGCATTTTTAAATTCTTGCAATGAGTTTCGGTTTGAAGGGGATATTTAATTTGCAATTACAAACCTTACTGATGTCATTTTATATAGGATTTTTATTTCTTTTTGTTATTTTTTTTTTAATTAATTTCTATTTTTTTCTATGTTTTGCTTTGATAATTTAAATCTTTATTCTTTTTTTTATTTATTTAATTGGTCTAATTTTATTAATAATTAGTATCTAATATTTTATTTTTTATTAATTATATTGTATTTATTTATTTTTTTAAAAATAAAGAAAAGAATATTTTATAATATTATTTAATTTGAATAAACGGAAAGCCTATAATCTTTTTATTTATATTTTAGTTGATAGAATGTATTTTTTTTTTAACAAATTAGAAATAAAATATGAAAATATTTGTTCGTTTAAGACCAAAAATATTTTTTTTTTTAAATTTAAATTTAAATGTTTTATAATAAATTGATAATTTATAAAATAATAAAAACGATATTTTTTTTTTTTAAAATAATAATATTTTAATAATAAAGTAGTTAACATATCAATACAAATTTTTTAAAATATAAAATATTAAAAAAAATTTTTAAAATAAAGTTTATAACCAAAATAAAAAAAATATTAAATTTTGTTTAATTAAATCATTAATTAATTTATATTTTAAAAAAAATAAAAAATTAAAATAATAATCTTAAAACAAAATAAATAAATCAAAATATATTTTTTTTCTTTTTTATAATATAATATATAAATAAAAAATAAACAAAATACAAAATAATAAAATATACGGAACTATATTTAGGATATAATTTTGTACAAAGAGTTCAATCAAAACTATAGAATTTAAAACTTTTATATTAATATATAGAAATACATATTATATAAAGAGAAAAAGAAAGTCCTGAATACTAAAGATAAACCCAAAAAAAGAGTGTTTTAAATTAAATTTAATGGAAATTTTCTATCTGAAATTATATTCATATTCGAATTTTTAGAAAATGAGTGTAATTTAAGAAATGTATTCTTAGAAGCTTTGAGTTTGTTATTTTGGAGAAAATATTATCGGAACAATTTTAAATTAATATATACTTTTTAAATTAAGGAAAATAATGAATTTGCTAGACTTTATTATGTAGAAAATTGTTCTAAATCTTAAACTCTTTACTGAAAATTCAGGGTTTCAGGAAAGGATTCAGACATAAGTAATATGTATATTTTGAAGAAAATTATTAATTTACATATACTGATACTATTATTACTTCTAAAATTAGAAATATATATATTATTTGTTCTACAAAATCTTTATTAAAATAAAGGCTTGCTTTATGGAGGGAAAAAACAATTCAATAAATAGCTGCTTTTAAATAATATTATAAAAATATAACTTCTCATAATGCTTATTTAAGATATACTGATTAGTTAAAACGAATTCTCAAAATAATGATTTAAATAATTATGAAAATTTATTGAAGATATTGCTGAAAAGTTTAATTATAAGACTAGTATAAGAAGTTTTTATTAGAGAAAAAAATTATTTACTTAAATTAATATGGGAAAAAAAAAAAAAACATATTTAAAATACATTTTTTTTGTAAATAATATATTTTAAAAATAAAAATTTATAATTATAATATTAAATTTTCGTTTCAGAAATAATCATCTTAAAATTACTAATAACCGCCTTTAGTTTATTATTATTTACTATTTTATATATGAGGGGGCTAATCATTAATTTTGAGGTCATTTTAGCTTTACAAATTAAACTAAAATTCATCATTATTACAACTGTTTGAATTATTCACACATTCAATAACATTACTATTATCATTTTTATATTTCTAGTCTTTATTTAAATTAATCGCAGTATCGAGTTTTTATGAGTTTTATTATTACTTTTATTATTTCAGTTCTAATTCTCTCCATCTAATATTAGCTTATAAACCCTTTTTCATAGCCTTATATCTTCTCCAGAATAAATAAGTGGTCATACAGAAGAAAATAATAACAAGAATACAGGCAAATATAAATGCGTAAACTGAAGCTTCAGTCTTATATGAAACATTAGGTTCTGCAATTTCGATGTTTTCGTAAAATATTGATATCGGATCATTTTCGAAATTCTATATTTTAGCAACTATACTTAAATGATATATTGTTGTATCATCATCTAGTTTAAATGAGAAATTCATTTCATCTTATTCCTTGTTTTCTAATATAAATGTTTTAAATTTATAATCCTCTCCATAGACATTTTTAGGTGATATTTTATGAACTTAATGTAAATTATCCTAAGCGTCATGCTCGTAATAATTTCTTACTTAACATTTTCCAATAGTATTTAAAATCTCTTTATCAATAGAATATATAACTTCATAATTCACTTTACTTCCTTTAGTTATCTAAATTATATATATTATTATTGTTATTATTTTATTTGAAAAAATAATATTTATTTTACTGCTTTATCGCATTTTTCACATACAATAGACTTAAAAGTAATTACCGTATTCCCTCCAAGTTCTCTTTTATAATTTATTTTTCCCTAATTACCTGCTTTTAATTTTTATTTAGAAATAGTCTTCTATGTTTTATGGAATTCAGGTTTTAATTTATACATAGATTCTTCATCTCCATTTTATATAGCAATAAAAACGGCTCCTATTTAAAAAATAAAATAAAAATAAAAAAGATTATATTAAATAACCTTTTTTAACTTTAAATGTATCTAAATAAGTATTTCCACTATTCAAATCAAAAAATTCATCATATTCCCCTTCTAAAAATTATTCATAATTTTAAGAAACCCCAATTTTACTATCTCCTTAACAATGAGTAAATAATAAAGCCAAATACCCTTTCTAAGGTACAATAACTTCATAATAGTTAAAAGAAAGTGGTTATAAAATATGATCGACTTAAAAATTTAAAGGAATAAGTAAAATATCTCTCGCATTAATACTTAAGCTTAAATTAAGGTATTTATTTTATGTATTTTTAATAACAATTTCATAAGTTCCATTTCTTTCCGGTAATTAATAAGAAACTGAATAATCGTGTAAAGCCAAAGTTTATAAATAAACCGAATCTTAACTAATTTCTTTATAATCTCTCCTATCTTTCATCAAATCATGTACACAGGTAATATTTAAAGTGGCTAAATCATATCCTTTAGTATGTGAAAATATATTAAATCTAGCCGGCGCCTCATATTCGAAATGATAATAAATGAACACTGCTTAACTTTTAGGAGCAATTTATTAAATAAGCATTTATCCATCTGAAATATACCTAAGTTTACTTCCCGCATTATAAATAATGGAAAATGAAGCATTCTGATTTTCTTTTTTTTATTTATTTACAACCGCAATGTAAATTTCGGCTTAATGGAGATGTTCTTAAATATTAGCTTGGGAACCTTTCTTTTTATTTTTTTTATTTTTTTCTTCATTCATTTATATTCTTGGGGCTATTCCTACATGAATTTACCCATTCTCACTAGAAAAAGGTCCATATTTAAATTCCTTCAAATCAAAAGTATATTCATATGAGTAATACACTTCTACACTTCCATTAAAGCTCTAAACACTCAAATCAGTCACCTCATCCTAATCAACTGATATTCTATATAAATTAAGTGTATTTACTTCTACGAAATCCCTAATTTATCTACTTTCTTGCAACCAAGTGAAGTCTTATTAAAATATAACACTTATAAAGGCATGAGTTTCTCCTTCATGCGCTGAAACTGAAATAATATATAGACATTCTTAACAATAGAGCTCCTCATTATCCTAAGAAACATGAATATTCGAAAAAGATTCACCTGCAGTGTATTAAATAGTCTATTCATTTGTGTTTTTCAAACATTTTTCAAAACTAGTAATTTTTGAATTTTTGGCATTTTTACAAACTCTAATCCCCAAATCCGCATACCCGATTTCCCTTTATAACTTGACCGTAAAATCAGAGTCTGAGAAATGAAAATATTTAAAATACCTCTTATAATTTGAATAAACGAAAATTTCCTAAGGCAATCCATGCATTAAATCTAAAACTGGATTTTTTCCCTACATAGCAATTAAAACGAATTTTCCTGCCGAATCTGAAATACACCCAACTTCAATTATCAAAACGGGATTTTAATTAATTTTCAAGTCATATTTTGCCATTATTTTTCTCAGTTATTTATTCGATATTTCTAAATAATTAGCATAAGATACAATATCGGCTGTTTATTCATTTATAATACTATTCGGGTATCTATTAGTAATATCGTCTTTTAAAATAACTCCCAAAACCCCATCTCCTGAAAGAGGAGTCATTTCAATAATAATCGAATCATTTTCCTCCAAAATATTATTCAAAGCCAAAAAAAAGAATTTCTATTCATTTTATTCAATTGTAAATTCTGCTTATTAATTTATATGAAAATCTTAATACAAAGAACTCACAACAATATTAAAATGATCATTTTTTCTCTCGTCCTTTATTTTTTAAACAATTTCTTCCCCATCATTAGGTAATCCAGTATAATAACTAACACTTATCAAAAGAATGCAATCCGGCCAACAAAACTCAAATGCTTCTCCTGAAAAACTAATAGAGTGTGAATTATGAATACCGGAATTAAAATGATATTTATCATCCGATTAAATTGGGAAAGGCCATTCCATAACATTATTCGAATTTTCGTTATCCCACAAAAGCACATTAAAAGAAGAATGTCCATAAATACTAGAAAGATAAATTGATAAAGAATGTTCTTTATTATTAGGGATATAATAGAAATTCATATATTCTAAAACATTATTAAAATCTCCTCTATGAGAGACTCCTTCAGTTAATTCAATTGCATATTCTTAAGCCCAAACAGTTAGTGTATAATTTATTTCTTGATCAACATTACTACTTATACTTAAATAAATATCACAATCTTGTATTTTTTATTTACAGATTTTCTCTTTAACAAACTATGGATCTAAACGGAAATTCGTATAATTACTCTAAACTTTCATCTCGTATTTATCTATTTATTCAAAAGGCTCCGATCCGACTCCAAAAGTGAAGTATTTGGAATTTTTCACTCTTTAATTTTTCACATAATGAGAAACATAAACTACTTCAGTCATATTATGTATTCTTATTTAGTAATATTTCATTCCTTACTCCACTAAATAATCATTTATAGTATTTCCTAGATCTAAAGCTTTAACTACATTACTAGAAGACGCCATCAATTAAAAATTCAAGTCTAACTATTCTTTTATATTTTCATTTTGATAAGGACTTACTTTGAAAGCATGTTCAGTGGCCATTACAGCAATTTAATAACTTGCCTTTTTATCGTACTATTTATCTTTTCTAGAAATAAACAAATAACCGTTACTAGATTACCATTAGAATCCATTTTCTCCATCCGAATATGGGTAAGTACCATCATTATTGACTAAAATAATGAGTTTGTCTTTCTATCCTTTGAAATTGAATTCAATATCATCATTAGTTTCGCCTTTTTATTTATCATCGGAGTCATTTATAGGATTATAGACAAAATATTAAATAGGATTTTTCCTTGATATATGTCCTTAGAAATAAACTCCTCCAACCAAATGTATGATTTTCAGTTTATCAACTCTTTCCACTTCAGTAACTATGGAATAAATAGTATTCGCAAATCCATATACTCCTATATATATAGCGCCTGTTTTAGCATTATGTCCTTATAAAACTACAGGCTTTGTATTTAATCCTTTCATTAATTTGAATTTTTTAGATGGGCAATTTTCTTCAGAAGGTTAATCACACATTCCATTTATAGAAACGAAAGTTTACACATTTTAAGATGAATTTCTTATTTTTATATTTTTTATATTCTCGACATCTTTTATAAAAAACGCATAGAATTAATAGTCATCTTAGATTATAATATTCTCTAAAACTGTATTTTCTTCCAAAATTATATATCTACTTAAATTATTTCCATATGCCTCTATTTAATATCCACTTTCTTCAGTATCTTAATTAGGTATAATACCTATAATATACGTACATTATTTGTTTTAAGGACTACAATATGAATTAAAAGTTAAAGTTTTAACATTTTCGTAATCACTGGAAGAAATAGAGCTCATTAAATATTTATCAATATTTTAAGATGTAAAGAAGTCATTTTCACTGCATTAATTTGAACTACAGAGTCTTAAATAGACATCATTTATACCATCTTATTCATTTGATAGTTTTAAAGTAATAACATCATGTTAATTATTCATAGATCTAAACATAATATTTTAAACTTGGTTGTTCTTCTGTTTTCCTCCTATGATTTCTTTTAGTTCCAACTCCGGAACAACTCCATTTTTTTATTTTTAGACTTAAAAATAAAAATAGCCGCTTTCATTTTCATTCATAATTAAAAAATAAATGATTTGTCCATTGGTTCCTATTTTCTAAAGTGTCTCCTTTGACACAATAAGTGAATATTATTTATTTATTTAACTATCAACATCACTCTTATCATTTTCAGTTTCCAAAGTTTCCGTAAATTCACTTTTCCAGTAATGATTAGAAGACTCGTCTGATAAATTTTACCCAGAAGCAATAATAGTGAGTTTATCTTATTTACTAGAAAACCATTTAAATACGAACTTTACAAAATCATATCCCGATGTGTCTTTTTCAGAAAATTATAGTTTATAAATATTCGAAATTTATTTAGATTTAAAATCTACGTAAGAAACCGAATCTTAAATTTCACTTAATGAATAAAATATTTTTAAAAGAATAGTTATTTCCGATTTTGGGCTTCCTTTTAATAGCATATATCCTTTTTCAGGATGTTTTTCCTTAAAATTAAGTTAAGAAATAAGCACATTTTGGTTATGAATCTAATTTTCGAAATCTAAGCCATCAAAGAACAGTGCATTTATTATTTTTCCATCTTATTAATTCTTTAATTAACTATAAATTATTATTTTTCTCATTTGCATAACTGTATTTAATTTCAAATCTAGGCTAATTAATAACAAATCATTATTTTCAGGAAATTTTAAAGTTATTTAGTTATCTTAATTCAATTATGTATTTTCTAAAGTATATATTTGGAAAGAAAAAGAACATTCCTATTCTTGACAAATCGCAAAGAATTCTTCTCCTTCTGAAATTTTTTTTTATTATTAAATAATACAGGCAAATTATTAATTGTGTAAAATACAATTTTAATCTAGCAAAGTAAGTTCCGCTTATTTTCCTTTTTTTATTTCGTTGATATAAATAATTAATTATTTGCCTAATGCATATTACTTTTAATTTTTCTTTACTTTTATAGTCTATTTTTAATCCTTTTTTAAATTTATGTCTATTTATTTATTAAAGGTTAAGTATTTTTTTTATATTGAATCGAAGCTATCTTTATTTTCGTCTAGTGTTTTGGTTTAATTATTTTTATCAGTCTAAATAGGTTCAGTATTTTTACCTTTATCTGGTTATTATTAATCTTAAGAATTGTTGGTTTAATTTGATTCTTGACTTGAGGATAATAAAAACTAAATCAATAAAATTATTAGAAATGGTATAGTACCTTTTATTATTTTATTTTTCATATTTTTTTAATTTTATGTTTTATTATTTTTAAAAATAATAAAAATGCTTTGTATATTTTTATTATATTTATTTTAGTATTATTTTGAATTAATTTAAAATAAATATAATACAATATAAGAAAATATCTTTTTTTTTAAAAAAAAGATTAGGATTATTAATATTTTTAAAAATTTTGTTTATTTTATATTTTAATAGAAGAAATTATAAAATATATATATAAATTAATTTAAATTGTAAATATCAAAAGAATTATTTTTTAAAAAAATATTAAATTCTTAAGAATAACAATTTAGATAAAATTATCATTTAAATTATAAAATATAAAAAATAATAAATATATAAAATATAAATTAAATTATATTATTTAAGAAAAAAATATATAAAAATGTTATAATACTGAATATATGTAAATTGATTAAATATAAATATATATATATATATATATATATATATATATTTAT